AATAGATAGATATAAGGATATGAGTCACCTAAATATAAGAGCCCATGTGTATATGCAGGCTATTTGATTAGAGCATATTATAAACTTAGATTATAATAAAGAACAACAACCAAGTATGCATAAACTTTAAAAATAAACTCATTAAGTTACTTAAATGATAGCAATCTAGGTTTGCATTTTTAATTTTTCAAATCAATATCAATAATTATGAAAAGAAAACATTTTAGAACTAGCTCGGCTTGACCAAGTATCGTAAAGCAATACAAAATTAAATAAGGTAAAAATAAGAAAAAAAAATATAAACAAATAAACACTAAAAATAATATAATAATTAGTGTGTGTGTGTTAAACATTAGGAGGGGAGAGGATGCCCTAAAAGGTATCTGGAGTCTCTGCCTCAATTTTTTCCGTGCCAAGGCAAACCTGTCCTGGTATTAGCAGGATAAATATGGGGTCAACCCCTGAATATCCTTAATAACTGTCAACTAATTAACAATATCGTGACATGTTATACATGTTTATTCTCACTAGTTATAGAACTGACGCACCTTTTTTAACAGACAAATACTTATATGACAATTCCATTAGTTGTTGGACATTATTAAACTTCAGAGTGTTGATTATTCGTCCATAAACATGGCATAAATATTGTTTAAGTCAATATAAATCTAATGGTCAGTTTAAAGCCTTGTTTTAAATGACGCATGATATTACAACCATTTTAACATTTGAAGAGTAATATTGATGATCAAATATAATTAATAATCTCAAATAATCACTTTTCGTGAAAGCGTGAAAAGATAAAATTACCTTTTCATCCAAGTTTTTAAAGCTGTGCATAGATAAATGGAAAGGTGATTAATTATTCACGATATTATTGTGCCAATTTTGTGGACCAAATGATGGATTTCCCACAAAGAAAGCCGTGCACAGATGACAGGTGTGGGGAAAGGTTGAAGGAAGCCATGTCATGTCTTCACAATATTAATTAATTATTTCGCCTATCCAGCAATTTCCCTGATTACAGGCATAGAAATTAGCAAGAGTTTATAATGTTAGTTAAAACTTATAAGAAAACTTAAATATCATTTCCGAACCGTTTACCATCAAATCTTCATTAAAATTAACCCTTTATGCAATACTTTCTTTTAAGAAAGTAATTTATCATTTTATAAGACATAGAAATTTATTTTTTAGGAAGATGAGTTAAAAATGGTGACATTTCAAAATTTTGTAAAAATCATACATAATTTCTGAAACAATTAAAAAAAACATTTTACCAACGTTAAAAAATATGTTATGTTGTGTGGGACCGCAATAATATAATAAAGCATTAACAAATAGAAAATGGAGGGAGTGATCATGGCTATAACGAAATTATAAATGGATCCCCTCATTATTTCTGTACGGAAGTGGAGTTACTGTCCCAGTGGTCCAGAAATGTCGTGTTTCGGGACACCGGGCCTTTTGAATTGTACAACTTGCATGTGACTCCTCACCGCCACATCAATCAAACGCGTTCTTGGTTTGTTTGTTTGTTTTCCCCCCGGAGCGGAAAAAATGAGTTTAAAATTAAAAGAAATATTCATGATTGTAAAATGATATTTACTTTTGGAGCTATTGTATAGATAGCTCGTATAAATAGTTTACCATTTCTTAAATTTTTAAAAATAATTTTTTTAATATTTAAATTATAATTAATTTATAAAATTATCCTTTTTAATATATGTTTTTTTCAAATATTAAGAAATTCAAAATATAAGAAATCTTTGGAATGAAATAGACAAATGCGAGGGAGAAGACAGAACTCAACACAAGAGAAACGAATATGAGATAGCAAAACAATGTGAGTGAGCCACAGTTATGATGGTGAGAGACAAACATGAAGTGAGATACACTGATAGTACTCAACGGAGCAGAGCATGCCAGCGAGAAAATGAAGCTACAGATTCATGATTTTTTATTTTATTAGTTTAGATATTTAATTTTCTATGATAAGTTAAGAGTCTAATTTTTTTTACTATGTTTGATCTATTTTGAACAAATGATTATATGTTTTTCATGTTATTAATTTATGATACTACATCATTAATAAATGCCTGTATATCAATTATAAATAAGTTTATGTCTGATTATTTAGTTATGTTAATCTATAATAGTATATCAGTGATATATTATTATATATCATTGATATATAAGTCATATCAGCAAAAACTTATCAATTTGTCTATCATTGATATAGAACCATATATCAATAATATAATATTGCATATCAATAATGGAGCCTCTTCAATGTCTAATGTCCTCTTCATCATATCTGGGGAAAACAAAGAGGGAGAGAGACAAAAGGCTCTATGATGAAAATGGTGATCTAGGTAAATCAAATTAAAAATTTTGATAAAGAAAAACATTGTACGAGAGTTGAATATGATAATTCAAGAAAATCAGATGAAAAAATATAATGAAGAAAATATGCAAAGATAACAAATCAAAAAGGGAGCACGCACAATATAATTTTTGATAATAAAAATAAATGAAAGATTCAATCAATTAAAGATTACTCCCTTTGATCCTATTTATAGGGTAGAAAAAGAAGATTTTTTTGGTCCTATTTATAAGTCATCTCATTAAATTTTCATTGTAAATTTTCTTGTGTTGGAGAGAAACAATTCATTGTTAAAGTATGTATATTTAATAGAGATAAAGTTAAAAAATTATTAAATTTCTAGCTATAGTTAATGAGTTTTAAAATTTTTCTTAATTGTAGTGAAATATGTTAGAAGTACTTTATAAATATGACCAAAGTTGTAGTTAAATCAAATATATATTTTTAACAATAAATTCATTCTGAGGATAAAAAAAAAATATATCTAATTAATTTTATGAATGAACCATATTTTAAAATATTCAAAAACCCCATCCATAATTTATGAGTGTTGTATTTTTTGAGACCATTAATCTAATTTTTTCTTTACTTTTTTAAGGAAGAATTACCTTAAAGTCCAACCTCATACAATTAATTATTTTTAGATCTATTAACAGCTAAGTTTAGAGAAATGATAACATTTGTATGAAAATCTTCCCCCCCTTTTACTTATAAGGTCCCTCTTTAACATTCTTAATACAAAATTTAATAAAACATCAATAACTCATTTTTTTTAAAACGTTTTTATTTCCTTCAATGTAAGCTTAACTGATGCTTTTTTATTTTCTAGATTTAATTAAGGGTGATTAAAAAATTTTAAATCTAATTAAGTAAAGATATCCGGGACTAAATTTCATAGACTATATGCATACATGGAAAGGTGTGACCACAAGGTGAAGGATCAATGTTGTGGAACATAGCCTTTATTTTTGGGGCAAAGGGACTAGGGAACACCTAAAATATTTTTCTCAGAAGTTCATGCATGCGGCCAGCAAGAGCCCCTTTACATAACATAACATAACGTGCATGAGAAAACAGAAAATGCGATCATGCTTAATCTAGAGCCAGGACTGATTTAATTTTATTTGAGATGTCTCTTATTATTTCAACTTATTTCAAATCAATATTCGTCTGGCAAAAAAAAAATCAATATTCGATTTTGTATTTGAACATTCGTTGGATTATTAACCAACGGATGGCATAATCTATAATTAATAAAATAAATAATTGATTAGACGTTGTCTAAATCCCAATGGACCCCATGTCCTCTTTGCTAGCCCATACAGGAAGGATCTCACAGTACGTCCAAACACTCTTTGATAAATAATGAAGTCCAAACACTCTTTGATAAATAATGAATATATATATATATATATATATTGATAAATGTATATCTCTACAAATGTATCGGCAAATAATTATATTTTTATACTTTGTTCATTTTAAAAATAAATGACTCTTCAATTTTGTCTTTGAATTTTAAAAAAAAGTGGTTTGATGTATTGGAATAATTTCCTTGTGAATTGAAATATTAAACTTCTTTTTACAATTTGTAGAAGGGTTATTTTGAAATTGTATATCAAAAGTGACTTATATAAAGGATCAATGAAACTTTCTAAAATATAACTTATAAAAAAGACTAGAGAAAGTACATTATAATTAATTCCATGTGTTATACAGAGTTTAATTGATGATAAATTATATGGTTCATAAATTAAAATTTAAATAATAAAATTTTAAAACAAAAATACTTACAAATTAATACTAGGAAATTAGCGGCAATTAATCTCCCTCCCAACGGGGGTTATGGATAGAGAAAATAACGCTATCAAAAATAATTTGATTGTATCATTTTTGTAACAACTATAGATAACTTTGACGCTTATTTAATATAATACTATGCACAGGCCGCTTCAATATGGGAGAAATTTTTATATGAACCAATACACCATGTCATTCATACTTTATTGAATAAAATTGTACCAATTCAATAAAATGAAATGGTACCAGTCTTTAGTTTTAAAATATAATAACTTTTTAATCTCTTGCTCTTCTCTTTTTACCATCATTAACGATAGAATCAATTTATATTTATCATTATCTGAATAACATGTTTTTATTGAATTGAACATAAATAATGTGTTACACCAGCTCTATGCTAGAAATTCTCTCAATATGGACATATCTTAGAAGATGGCACTGATATTGAATTCAATGATGTGAGATTATTTATCCTATAATGTATATAAAGCGCAATCAGTGGATACGTAGCTAGCAAGTCTGTAGCAGAGCCAGAGCAGGTAACTAGCCATCGCATCGCAATGTATAGGTGCGATTTGGCAGTATAAAGCCAATATATATTCGTGAAACTGCATGCAACGATGAACTCCATTATTAATGCTGGGCGGCATCGCCCACGAAAAAGCAGAGATATATAAAAGCAGTACATAAACAACAGAGCATTACAACACAAGAAAGAGATACATATACACGACGCAGGAAATGATGGGATTTGAAGCCCTTATCCAAGAAACGGAGGTGATCGAGAAGTAAAAGAAATGAAGGTGCATGCTGCTTAAAACGGAGGCTTCTTCTTGTAGGGAGGGGATGGTTTCCTGCCACCACCATAACCATCAACACCTGCTTGGTCAGCTTCCTCGACGATGGTCGGTGGCTTCTTCTTCGGCGGAGGCTTCTTGCCGGGGCCACCTTGTAAGGCAGCAAGCTCGTCCTCAACATGGGTTACGGTTGGAGGCTTCTTCTTCGGCGGAGGCTTCTTGCCGGGGCCACCTTGTAAGGCAGCAAGCTCGTCCTCAACCTGGGTTACGGTTGGAGGCTTCTTCTTCGGCGGAGGCTTCTTGTCGGGGCCACCGTGTAAGGCAGCAAGCTCGTCCTCGACCTGGGTCATGGTTGGAGGCTTCTTTGGCGGAGGCTTCTTGCTGGGCCCGCCGTGTAAGGCAGCGAGCTCGTCCTCGAACTCGGTGGGTGGCTTCTTCTTAGTAGGCGGTTTCTTGCCATCCAGAGAAGCAAGAGAGGTTGTGGTGAGGAGCACCACAGCCAGGAGGAGCAGGAATGAGCATTTTGGTGACATTTGTGTGTGCGCGTTTAATCCCCTTTGGTTTCTGCACTCATCCTCACCCACCCTGATCCCCTTTTTATAATCTCTGGCCGGCCACCAACATCCTTTCGTCATCCCCCATGTCATCACTTTTGTTCTCTCTTCTGCCGTTTTATCTCCACAATGTTGCTCTCTGATTTGTTGAAAGTAACTCTGGGCAAAATTTAAAGGTCCTTTTTTTTTTATTTTTCACCTAATATTTTGAGAGTGTGAGTATTCTGGATTCATTATTCACTCATTTCATTCTAAATTAATTCGGATTCTTGCATAGATTCAGCTCTTAACGTGATGGTTTTACAAATATTACTGACGAGATACACTTTGTTTACTTAACTGCGTAGCTGCATACTTTAAAATTCAAACACGAGACTTCAAGTTAAACTGTCTAAGCCCCTAGCCATTTAGACAAGCACCATTTGGTAAAGCCCATTCTAGATGAGCTGCAATTCTGAATTTTAACGTATGTTTTCAGTATTATTCAAAAAAAAAAAAGCCCATTCTTTGAGCGCTAAAATATCATCGGTGTTCTTCAAAGTTATATTAACAGCTTGTGTAGAAAATAATCTTATCAAGACGTGAAAACAACTACGCTTCTCATTTTACCGTATGCTAAAATATTGCGCATGGATAAGACATTTTGGGTCCAGACTTATTGTTTATTTTTTTTTTAGGACAAACTATTCTTGCTTTTACACAAAAGCCCGGCGTAAAATTTTAATAATTAATAATAACTGATTAAAATAAAAACAAATAAAGGACAACATGAATGAGTGATAAGATAACAATGCCAATATTATCTTATGTTAATATAATATATAGATTAGTAATTTACAGTTACAGGCTAAAGAATTAGAAATTTTAATATACATGGGAAACGGAAAAATTAAATTACCCTTTTCACAGAGTGGAGCAACTTCATTCGTGTATTGTTTATAATTTAAATTCAATGACTATATTTAATATAGATTTTTAGTGCTTGTACTATCTAAACTGTTACAATCTATATTAATGGTTTTAAATTTATATTCCACTTAAGATTAATGAATAAGTGAGTTTATTTAAATTGTTAAGCTAAATTTCAATGGCTTATATGGTATAGACGCTCAATGCTTCTATTAAATACAATCATCAAATTCAAATCCATTTGCATAAGGGCATTGAGCTATTTTCACGCTATCAGATTTAAGTCAGGTTGCGGACATGCGTGCTTATAAGAATATGTATAAATTTATCTATTATTTTCATTTATAAATAAATAAAAAATTAGAAAGACTGAGAGGAGAGCATGAATACTCCCAGACTGAGAAAATTTGAAACACTCGTAAAATTTAAATCCAAAAAAATATCATGATTTTAAATCATAGCAGGGAAAAAAAAATGAAGCCCCGTGAATGATTGTCCACAGAAGTCGGTGAGGTTGATAGAATAAACGGGGTTGAATTCGTTGGTGGGGCCTTGAATAAAGCAAAGAATCACATGAGCCTCTCCGACGGGCACTGTAACTGGCATTCATTCTAATCCTCCGCATTTACGGTTCAAGAATCACGTGAACCTTTCCGACTGGGGATGCTTCCTCGCTCGGCTTGAAATTGGTTAAAATAAAAGTCCAATCAAACCAAACCGCCATTAGTTTAAATGGATTTGGTTGATTTAAATTATTTTACGTCATATTAATTAATACTCCCCCAATCCTACATATTGGTCATATTTTAGAAGTAAAATTTACTTCACTTTATAAAAAGTTGATAAGATTGTTTCATTTCAGGTTAAAATTTTTAAATTATCCTTAAAAAGTAAAAAAGATAAAGATAAAAAAAATAATATTATATTATTTATTTACTTTTTGTTTTTTACATAAAGGTTATATTTAACATTTTATTTATTTTAATTTTTGATCATTTTTTATATTGATATTGATGAGGTTGGTAAAAAAAATTTATAAATAGGACAGAAGGGAGTACGTGACTTTATGCTGTGTAGTTAAGAGTATTTAGAAGTTCAGTTTGGTTTAATTTTAAAAAAAAAAAATCAGACCAAATTAAACCAATTAATTTACTAAAGTTTATGACCTCTTTAGTTTTTTTTTAATCAGTTTGGTTTGGTTTTTTAACATTTTGATTTAAATTTGGATTAAATTTGAACTTGTTTAATGAGAATTTTTTCATAATCACCAATATATATTAACATTTTGATTTTTAACTATTAATTATTATTTGCAGTGAAAAAATCTCTTGAGCATAAAAGAATATTTTTTTAACAATTAATTAATATATTTGGCTGTTAAAATTTAATGTATTATTTTTAAAACACTTGATTATAAAATTTAAAAAATTATCTTAAATAATTATAAATAATATTTACCTGTAACTTATTTTTATAAATGATTTACGAATAACTAAGCTTGAAAATGGAAAAAAAAAACTTGACAAATTTATAAAAATACATATAATAAATATAATAAAACTTGATTTGATTGGATTCAAGTTTCTAGAAACTAAAATATGAATCAAGTAAAACCAATCAATTTTGTCTAAAGATAAACCAAACTAAATCTTATTTATCTTAATTTATATTAGTTTGGTTTAATTTAATTTGGTATTATTGATTTGGATTGATTTTGAACATCTTTAATTATAGTTATCAAAAAAATTAATTTAAAATTTTTTATTATTTATATCATAGTCGACACCAAATCCGCCGTAATTCAAGAAGAATCATGACACGGTAAATTCGAGAGAATAACGGTGATGAAATCCGTCAGGTGGGTCATGTGATCACGGGACGGGACCCTCTTTTGTCGATTATAATTATTGGCTTCCATTTTGGGCCACCCCCATTCTACGCGTCGGATTTCATACTCTCGGCAAAAAGTCTCGGTCTCATTAGTGTTTTGTGGAGTCAGCTAACGAAGAGGTTGTCGGCTTAAAAAAAAAAACAAAAAAACAGATAACGAGATTAAAAAAAAAAGGGTTCAAGTTAAATATGTCCCTGCTGGCTAGACCTGTTCCTTGGCGAATAAAATTTCTGGTCTTGTTATACATCGTTGGTCTTTTCATTTGTTGCTTCTTTTGAGTCCTTTGTTTGTTGCGTCTCTTCTTGCATGGCTGATTTAATACTCCCCGGAGTCATTTCTAAGAAAATAAGTTATCCTAGTAAAATTTTGGTTTTTTTTTCTAATTTCTAAAATTACCATTTAATTGGTATATTTCATTAGGAGCAGTGGATGCAAAGGCAGATTTTTGTTTGGGGGGGGGGGAGGGATGCTTGCCCTCACACTTAAATGCTCCTTTGATAAAAATTCGAAGTTTTATTTGTCAAACTTTTTAAAATAGATTTTGGCCCCTGTTTCATGTTTTATTTTCAATGTAATCCCTCCATTCATTGGTTTCCACGTCTGTCCCTGGAGAAGCTTTTATAAAGAGATAGGAGTTAGAGAATGATTATATATGCATGTATTATTCTGCTTTTATTTAAAAAAAATGTTTTATGAAAAGGACAAGAGAAAGTAATAATTAACTGAAAATCACTAAATCCTGTTATAAGAGAAGGTAGTAGGAAATTTGCTCTTGCGTCGGCACTCTCTGTCTATCTTAACATATGATGCAGAGGTCTGTCTCAAAAGAGCATCCGTGTGATGAGTTGTTTGGTCGAAATGGAATTGGCTGAAGTGTTCATCACGCAATAAGTATTTTGGGCGATTCCTCATTCTTAATATGAATTAATAAATTTATTTAAAAAACGGCAGTTAAAGGATATGACGTTTAGCTTAGATGCTATATATATTGAAATAAAAAAAATATTAGAAATATAAAAATAAAAAAAAATTATAGATATAGATAGTCTAATTCTAACTCCAGGGGTTGATGCTCATAAAGACTAAATAAGTTCACAAATAATCAAAGAACAGTAAAAAGCTACCACATCTTGCTTAAGTTGATTGGCCTTTCTCATTTATTTTATATTAATGCAAGTTTAATTTTATTCTAATGTGAAACGTTACACATTGATTTAAATTATCTCATACTTAAGTTTAAAATTAAAATTTTAAAAGCTTGAATTTTAACCATGCATTGATTAGACTCCGATCATTCAGAGATTTCATTGTCTGGATACTTGTTGTGAATTGCGATGAGCACGAAACCAAATCTATTGTAATGCAGGTGCCCTTTGTTCCACAAATCTCTCACGTATGGACAAATAATTTATCGAAAAGCGGAAGAAATAAAAGAAAAGTGAAGTTTATTTATTTTTTTTCCTTCAACAGATTTTTTAATACAATCGTGAAGCATCTATTTAATGAGAAAAATATAATTTTTGGTTTGTGAACCTTTTCTCATATATTGATTCAGTGTCTAAACTATGACTTAAAAAACAAAAAACCCAAGTCATATAATTTCATCACTTAAAAAACATTACATTTTTATTATAATACTCTGCTCCATAAACTATAAAAACTGAATTGTTTTGTATGAAAATTTGATGATTAGCTAAATCAACAATTGAAGAAAAAGTTTTAGACTAAACTTTATATTTTTCTTGCTTAACACTACCCATTTATACTTGAAAATTATTAAATACTTCCTCCTGAGTATAATAAGGCATCTTCTATAAGATCTACTTAATTCAAAATATAAAACATTGAATAATTTTTAAATTATTTTTTTAAGTAAACCCCCAATTCATTTATTATTATATATTAAGATTTTAATTACTATTATTAAAATATTTATAAAGAATATTTAATTAAAGTAAAATTGGACAACTGTAAATTTGTTTAAAAAAATTAAAATTTCAACTAATATTTTATAAAAATTAATTATTAATATCCTAGATTTTGATTTGAAAGGAGCATGGCTATTAGTAGCTTTTCTAATTACTATAATTTTTCCCTTAAATTTGAGCCGACATTTTAGTGTGAGGAAATTGATTGCTCTTGCCTCTTGACCTGTTGGCTCTCTTTCCTTTTATATCTACAAATTTTGAATGAAGTTTACTCTTGTCACAAAAATAAAAAGAAAGGAAGAAAAGAAAACGACAAGGAGAAGAAAGGAGTGATGAGACCGACGGCGATGTTTCAATTCTCAGAGGCTTTCCTCTGCTTTATTCTTTAATCTTTTCCTCGCTTTGGACGCACTCCCCCCATAGCTCTACGTCCTCCTGGTCATAATATATCTGATATTTTTTAAAAAAATTACTTAATTTAAAATATAATTTTTATAATTTTTTAATTATATTCCTATTTTATTTATTATATTTTTTTAAAAAAATATTGCATTAAAATTCTAATTATCATTATAAAAATACTTAAATAGAATATTTAATGAGATTAGAATTGAAAATATATAAATTTTTAAAAAAATTAAAATTTTGATTAATTTTATTTGAAAACCGTAAATTAGTTACCGAATTAATTTTGGTGGGAGGGAATAGTCAATTAATTAATTAATTCAATCAAGTTTGGCAGAAAGTTAACGAATTCAGATTTCAAACATAAACACCCACAACCTCTGGATTTAATTTATCCTTTTCCCCACTGTTTAACAATAAATATCTGTAATAATTTTTTTAGTGACAGCGCATAGGATGAGTATAATTAGTTAGATCTTAATTGATAGGCGCCGAGAACTTTAGTAAATGAACTATAATCGTCCAAATACCGTCATTTTCTCCCCTACAACCCCCACCTTAGCAGGCCAGGAGAAAAATAAAGGATTAAGATATAAAAATACTTATCAAATGATCAGCTTGAAGTATTTAATAGTTTAAAGTTAAAAAAATAATAAAAATATTTATAATGTTATTAGAATTGATACAAAAATGATTAAATAATTAATTTTTTCTAACACCATTAATTTCTGATGTTAAATATTAATTTTACTTATCACGTATCAGTCTTTGTTAATATCAAATATAAAAATAATAAAAATATTCATGAAATCATCAACAAAATGTATTCAATAATTTAAAATAAAAAAAATAAAAATATTTATAATATTATTAAAATTAATATAAAAGTGATTAATTTATTAATTCTCTAAAACGTTAATCGTCTAATTAACATTTAAATAAAATTTGACCTTTTTTAATTAATGTAAGTAAAAAAAAATTTCAAGTTAATTTTTACGAAAGTTAATCGATGGCGTATCCCATCCAAGCCTGACAAAGTTCCCGTTTCTATATATCCAAGCATGTACCTGTCCTCTTTGTTCCAGTGGAAAGAGATTGGGTGAGTGCATTTAAAGCTCTATCTCCTCCGTGTTAATTAAGACAAAATTACTCACAACAATAACATTTAATAATAATATTTTATAAGTTTATTTTTTTAAAATATAAATATAAATTTTTAAAAAAACAATTCATTTAATATAAATTTAAATTTATAATTATTTTAAGTCTCTAAAAAATAATATTAAAAAATATTATTAATGAATTGTTATTTTTATTAAATTATTTTATATTTCGAGATATTCATATCTTCTAATATTACCTTATAATTTAAAATGAAGTGAGTATTAAATAAAAAATATTTTTAAAATTTTATATTTTTATTTTAAAAATAAATTTATAAAATATTATTGTTACATTTTATTAATATACGTAATCTCATATCAAATTATCTTATAATTTAAAACAAATATAATACTATTCTTCTAATTCTATTTATAAAGTACATAAAAAAAATATTTATTATAATTTTATTTATAGGACATATTAATAATTATATTCATATTTACTTTTATCTTTATTAAATATTAAAAAAATTATTAAATGTTATAATATTTTATTTCTAAGGTATGTGTGTGATAAAAAAAATATAAGTTAAAAAAATTTAAAGTTCTTTAATTTTAATAAAAGATACTAAAAATTATTTATAAATAAGATTATAAATAAGATCGAAAAAAGTAAATTACTCTTCGGTGAGCTGTGGGTGAGCTGTCGGCAAGGATGAAGGGAAGTTTTCCTTTGTTTTAGCCATTGCGTTAACGTCAATCCGTATGAACGTAACTCTAAATTCTGCGAATATTATAATGACCGGCATGGACCTGAAGATCATTAACACCCCGCCCCTAGAATAATTTGTAATGACGTTCTGGATATATTTTCATCACCACGCCGACCCTTCCACAGTTCCACTTCATAACTCGGGGGATCAATATGTATTCACTGATTATTTATTGGATTAAGTAATTATTTACCAATTACCGTCATGATCCATCCATCCAACTTAATTGAAGTTCTCATCCAGGGAGCACGCGTGACCCCCCATGGTGAGAGAACAGAAACTTCACACGCGTCATGTACCAAAAGGGACTTCCATCCTCACACACACAAACACCCACACATTTTACTCCAACAAGAGCAGAATCAAACATGAATCACCATCACTGAACTATGAGAAAACAGCATGAACTAGTCTTACACGCGCGTGCGCGCACAAAGTAAGTAGCTAAACTTATGCATGCACACGCATACATATATACATATACATATAAATACATACATACATACATATATATATGTATATGCAAGCAGTACTTGATAATTAGATGAAAAGGGCATTACACATGAGCAGCGAGAGTACTCTTATTTCTGCATAGAGGTTCTAGTGATCATTTGACCTAATTGCCAGTGGGTGGCTTGTATTTGGGTGGTGGCTTATATTTTGGTGGTGGCTTGCGGTATCCCTGTGGAACCTCATCCGCTTTAGTTTCAGGCTCATTCTCCAGCGTGCTTGGTGGCTTGTATTTCGGCGGGGGCTTGTACTTTGGTGGCGGCTTATATTTTGGGGCCGGCTTGTAGAGTCCCTGAGGAACGTCGTCCACTTGAGTTTCAGGCTCATTATCTAGCATGCTTGGTGGTTTATATTTTGGTGGTGGCTTGTACTTTGGTGGGGGCTTGTGGTATCCCTGTGGAAGGTCATCTGCCCCGGTTTGAGGCTTGTTCTCTAGGGTGGTCGGCGGCTTGTATGGTGGTCGCTTTTTAACAGGTGGCTTGCTGTATGCCTCAGGCTGAACATCGGCTGTGGCGAACGAAGTCAGAAACACAAGAGCAATGAAGAACACGAGTGAGAAGTTAAGGAGCTTAGTGCTCAGGACTCTCCGATTTGGATAGGGATCCATTTTGGCGCATGAAATTGAGTTGGGAGTGGTGGCCTTTTATAGCGTCACAAAACCTATGACGTCACTCCACATGTCATCCGCCACTGTTTAATATGGCTGCATAAAAGATTGGCCAGGGCTGAATTTCGGATAAAGTCTGATCTCTTGTATAAAAACGGTTGAGTTAAATAACTTATAATTTGTTCTAGTTTAATGATAATTTAAAAATTAATAAAATCGAACTTAATTTATATAAAATTAAGAAATTGGTCTTGTTAGTCGAGTACTCACTTAATTTTTTTATAAAAAATAATAATCCATTTTAACTTAATAAACTCAATTAAAATAATAAAAATATTTATAATTATAATAAATCTATAATAATTTTTAATAACAAGAAAAAAATTTCAGTTACAATCTAAGTGATTAAGATTATTGAATTATTAGTATGAGTACATAACCGTGTGAAGAATCAGACTTTTAAAATTATTAATAGTCTTAATGTGTTATTATAAATAATTAATAAAAATTAATCATAATTATATTAAATAAATTTAATAAGATCAGACTGAATTAAATGATCTAGATATTCAATGTCCTATTTAATCTAACCTAAAAATAATTTTATTTTTTTAATATTTTTAATTATTAATTTTTAATAAGATCAAATAAGACCTTCTCAAATCAAACTAAGTTAAATAGGACCAGGCCACTTCTGCACAACCCTGCTGTTTAGTAATTCGTCTTGTTTGGACTTTGTCTAGAAGCACAAGGGAAACTCTGTTTGTTAAGGAGTCAAGAGTGTTGGGGCCCATGGCGGGAGACACTAGCTGAGTTATTTGACTGTTTGCCTCAAATCAACTGGCACCTTCTGTTGGGTCACGAAAATGTAAAAATGCCTTTCCCTTTCATCTGTTTAATTAGCTCGATGTGACGGGATTTTATTTAAGATATAAACACGTAGCAACACTAGTCTTTTAGTAGTCCTCAGTTAATTAATTACTAGATTCCTACCACCACCAGTACCATCTCCTCATCATACTCCAAAACATATTGCGATTATTTACTAACGGTGTTTGTTTATTTCAAAACATCAAAACACTTAAATAATTGAAGTACTCCAATATTTGGATAACAACATTCAAAAGATAGTGCATGAATCCGTTCTTTTTAAAAGATAAAGACCATGGAAAACCGTAATGCCCTTGCATGGTTAATCAAAATATCCATGTACCTTACACTAACATTTGGATTAGTGAATTTAAATTTAAATTTAAAATTTAAAATTTTATTTTTAAAATTTTATATTTAAAATTCTTTATTTAGATAATCTAAAAAATTTTAAATGAAGAAGAGAAACGAATTAAGATTTAAAATAAAAATAAAAAATTATAAATGATGAGTTTATTTTTTTTTTTGATGAGAGATGTGAATGAAATATAAGAAAAGATGCCAGAATCATAATATTAAAAGTGAAAATGTGAAGAAAATTAAATGTTTGAAGTGACTAGATTAGTTTTAAACAGCTAGAGTACAAAGAGCATTTGAAATTACATGTGAATTCTAATAAAAAAATAAATTTGGATTCATAATTTTTTTATATATTTAAATGAGGAATCTGGTTTAAATTTAAATTCAAACTTAAATCTCCATTGATCAAAACCCACGGTGGAGAGTAAAAAATTATAGAATTAGTGTCTAAACAATGAGCATGCATGACAAACTATTCAATCAATGTGTTTATTTATTTCCTTGAAAGCGAGGCGAGAAACGCGAGGAGAATTAGTGCATGAAGGATGAGCTTGACCCATCCAGGTTGAGGTAGAAACCATCTTGAGTACACATCTCTTAGCATAATAAAGTTTAAAAGTCATAACCATTACCAACTGTCCACAAGTCTATGCATAATTTCCATATTAAAGACCCATAAGTAATATAGAGTTTATAAACATGACAGGCTCTTTTATTTAACAGATTAATATGGTGATATTACTCTTTTTGAGCTTGTAATCTTGAAAATGACTGCCCACAAAGAATTATAATCAAGTGAAATGCTATGAAGCAAAAGTCACTGAGATTATATGTTTGGAAGGCATTTAAGTTAGTTTTTTAGAACGGACTTTTTTTTAATTTATACTCATTATATTAATATTTTTATAAAGTGATCGATGTCATACAAGGAATTATCTATAAAGAATTTTGACTGATGGGAAGCTAAGTAAAATGCTCCAAAGTGAAGCTACTAGGCATATAAGCTTATATGACGAGCACAAATCCCGTCGCAACACTAATCTTTTATTTGATGAAAAAGTTTTTCATACTTACAAATTTTATATTATTTGGGATGCTTTCTGATGTGGGTCAGGAAAGTGACCGTTTAGTCCGAAAATATCACACAAATGGGGCTTGCAATCACGAAGCAGATGTTTTTCAATTTTATTTTATTTAGTGGGAGATTTTTTTCTACACTCCATTGAGTAGCTAGGGAGAGGCGGCTAGTGGAAGGAGATCAAATACAATGATGTTCAGCTGTTTGATTGAGAAATATCAGGCACGACTTTTGGAAGACAAGAGGCATTAAATAATAGAAAGGATATTTTAGAAAATTGATGATACTTTCTCCCAGCATTTTACAAGATATCTTTTGCTATTTGATGTCTCTTGATATATAATTTTTTTTTTGACAAAATGATTATATTGTTATTGTTAATGACGTTTATTCATTGTATAAAAAAATTAAGGATATTTATTCCAAAATTACTCCTTGTTATTTAAATTCTTAAATAGTTCTATCTCTCTCTTATTGAATTAAGTGTATTTTTAAAAGTCTGAAGAAAAATTAAATTTTTAAACTATATTTAATTAAATTCGTTAATATCTACAATTTATAAAAAATAATGTCTTGTAAAACAGGAAATAAGAAGTCTAATAATTACTTGACTGGGACGATGGAATTTGGATAATAAATCATCAATTCAGCCATCTTCTGGTAATGAGGGGGAAAAGGCCATGATTGAGAACTTCCAGCTCAAGGAAAAACAAAGCAATCTGTTCTGTATGAATGTCAGTATACGTGTGGTTATAATTATAAAATATACTTTAATTAACTTGTTGAGAGTTTGAAACCAATGTGTACAGCAATTAGTTGCTAAAAATTTACTTATACTCTCAATGTCTTGGAAGAGGTGATATTTTTTATGGTCAGCTAAACATATTCCTCATGCATACTTATAAAAAAAGGTAAGTGTGAACCATCCATGGCTAGTAAGCGTGACTCATACATATATGGTGACAAGACTAGGCATTCATGCATATGTATTGAGATTCGTTGGCAGGATGAATCTGATTGCTTTTCCCAACATGGCTTCGAAACGCTCACATTCATCAGATGATAGTATAAAAAATAAAAAAAAATGTTTGAATCATAAAAACATATCTAAAATAATGAAATAAAGGATAAAAGAATTATTTATTTTATTACCATACTATCTATGATTTATATTATGAGGCACCAATCACCTCGCTGAAATAAAAAAATAATTAAGTTATTAATTTAATAATAAATTTTTAATTTTACTCATATTTAAATTTAAACATTTTCTCGCTCAAAAAAAAATGAAACACTTTCAATGTAATTAATATCACGCCAAATGACTTATATTAAAGACTAAATAATTTTTTAAAAAGTGTCTTGTAATAGCAACAGGATGATTATCATTAATGAAAATATAATATTTTTTATATTTTTTTTAATTTAACAGAAAAATAACAAAACATTAAAAATATATTCTGGTCTTTTAGTCAAAACAAACTTTTTAACTTATTTTAGTTTCGGAAACATATAGGGCGAGAATACATTTTCAAAAAAAAAAAATTTTTTTGTCTTTTAAACAAAAAAATTGTTATGAAATGAAGTGATTATGCTTGGCGGATATTTTTTTGAGGCAACGAGTTTTATTTAAAAAAAAAAAAAACGTGAGATGCGTGAGAGGGTCAACAAGAGAGCGTATCATGAAAAGCAAAAAAGCAAGAAGCAGAGGGTGAGTGCGCACGTGAAGTCGCTGTGATAGGCGGGCGGAGTCGGTTTCTCGGTGGCGGGGCCCCCTCGTGTGAATGGGTAGTATCACACTCCCATTTCTACTCTTCCTTTACGCTCTCCGCCTCGGATTCGATGATCCTACCAAACTTTGACTCTCTGGCAGAGCCAAAAGTTAGATAAATTTACGCAAATGTCCCAATATAGATCCTCTACTAATCTTCGAATCCTCTTCAGCCTCTCAAATTCTCGTTGCATGACTAATAATTATACTAAAGTTCACCTTTTTAACTTCCATATTATTTTAGTTTAATACAAGCACAATGTAAAATAAAAATAATCTTGTTTTGTCATAGATAATAAAAAAATATCAAGTATGTTAAAGACACAGGCCTCAAAATTATGAAAAAACCTAACTTTTAATCAAATGCAAAGAACTTAAGCTTCTTTACCACAATTAACCTAGATGTGAGAATACGAAGTGAAAAAATTAATGTGGATGAAGAAAAGTAAAGATACATTAATTAAAAAAAATGGCAGGCTATGCTAGCCCTATAACAAAAAAATAAAGACTAAAATTATATAATAAAAAGAAAAATAAAGCAACAAATGTGGGGTCTGAAAATTTAATTGGTAGTTTGTTGATGATGATTCCTTTGATAAGAGATGGCTCCTCTATTTATAGATGATCATGGCTTGGTAATTAAGCCCTATCATTGCCACTTTCCTTGAATTTATGAAGCAATTCCTCCATCGTGACCACTTTTCCCACTTCCATAATTCAAGCATCATGGGTAGAGTATGGAAATAATGGGCATAGACTTGATCTTGACTTAGTGGCTAAGGCTTTATAAATATCCTTTTTTAATTATTTTAAAGTTAATTAAGTTGAGTTAAATTTGGGCCTCTAAAATCACAATTTGGGTGCAAATAATGTTCCCCGCATATAAATTAGCTGGAGCTTTCGTAGGCTAATTTTGTATGG